GTCTCTGTCAGTGGGCCCATCCACGTCTTCACAACACTGTTATCACTTTTTGCAGAGAGTCCATGAGTTGTGGTTCCTTCCTTTCTCATATAGATTACAGAACAGGAGTTCCATCCTAGTGCAAATTGTAAACTCCTGGTATCACAATGGGATTGAGCTATGTTTGTCATTCCATAACTACATTTATAATCACATATGAAATAGCATTTAAAATAATGATCCCTAAAGTGATGACTACCAAAACTAACAATGGTGATAATTAATATTCTATTTTACAAATATAAATGTGTCAGTCCAACCTGCACTCCAATATCAAATGCATTTTTGCATTTTTACATGCAGATTCTTTTTTTACACCACGAAAATGTTAATGAAAGACCACTTGCTTTGATGGCTAGGCTTTCGTTCTGTTGAATACAGTTATGACACTCGGGCTTATGCCAAAGCCAGTGTGACACAGCCTAGTTAGTGGTCAGTACTTCTAGCTGTGAGTATGAAATACAGGTTGCAGGAAAGTTAATGAAAACCCTTTCCTGGGGGATTTTTTGGTCTCCCAGAGGCCCCCTTCTATCCAGGTTATACTCTGGGGATACAGGCTGGATGGATTTCAAGGGCTGACTTAATCTAAATCAATTTTTTTATTGACTGACTTGTTGAATTTGTCTCCTGCCTAAGGCAATATTGGACCTGATATTCTCATCTTCATAAGGAAAACATTGGAAAATGCCAAATCACTGATTTCAGAACAAAAATGAATCTCTGAGATTATCCGGCCCCTTGCCCTTGTTTTACAAATAGGGAAACCAGCCCAGTGAGAGAAAGGGACATGTACATGGTCACATGACTGTTAGAGCAGGGCTCGATCTCAATGCAGGTCTTCCTCCACCTCTGCTTACTAAATAGAATATCAAACTGCAGCTGAAAGTGTGAGGCTGTCCAGGAATCAGGGAGTCCAGGAGGCTGAATGCATGGATGTGCAAGAATTCTCTTCCCTGGACTGGACTCTCAGAGACTCCTGCAGCAAAATCTCTGGTACTGACCCTGCCATCCCAGGCTTACATCCAAGAGGATGATTCCCACTCCCTTAGACAGCCCTAAGGTTATAAATTAACCTGCAAAATTGGACATCCATTCTAGAGAGGGAAAACATGGAAAAGATAAAGGGCCTCTTTAAAACAGATTCTTCCTGATACATTTTTTTTTCCATAATTATAGCTTTAACAGCTTATGGTGATGGGAAAGCTGGCTACTTAAGAAAAATTAGTAGTCTCATTTGGCAGGAGAGAATTCCCCAGGGGATGATGCACTGTCATTTTTCAGGGCCCCTCGAAAAGAAATCCCACACAGAGAGCTGCACATCAGCCTGACACAGGACAAGCCTCCTTCACTTACTACGGCCAAAGCCAGATCTTTTAATTAAAAACACTGCATATGCCATTAAATGTTGTTCTCCCTCCAGTCCCAAGACGTTGTAGTTTGAGGAGATACAAACAAATGAATCCATTGCAGATGTGCAGGGAAACCATTGCCTACTGAGTCACAAACCAGCGGGTTCCCAAATTCCAGCCTCAGAGTGCCTCCCCATCAAAATGTTCTTTGCAAGCAAACTGTTCTCTCTGTAATTTTCACAGTTTATGGCAGTTGCCATAGCTGGAGAAGGAGGGCCATGGGGAGGGTGAGGGAGAGAGAAACACAGTGCCACCTCACTTAATTTATGAGCAGAGCCTCATATTTTACAAATAACCTTCATGATAAATAAAGGCCTGTGGCCACACATGGGACTGTGCTGTTTTTGTGTGTGTTTGCTTTTCCTGGTTAATTTTATTTATTTTTGAACACAAAAGTCACATATTGGGGGTAATCACATCCCAACTCTGAGCTCTGGGAGGAGACGCACAGAGGCAATGCTCGCTGAATTTCAGCCGCTGGAGATGGTTTGAGTTTGATGATTTCAGCCGATTCTTACCATGGCTAACCGGAGCACCTTTCTCCCCAGGCAAGCACAGGCAGCTGGATCTCATTTTCAGCTGCCAGGCCGTCCCCATGCCTTCCTGGAGCAGCCAGCCCACAGACCGAGTGCCATCCTTTCCAGGAGTTTATTCGAAGTGACAGCTCCTCACACTCTGGCCTTCTAATCACCTCAAGTAGCCGAGATACCAGTGGGGATGGGCGAACTCCTCCTGCAAAGTCCAAATTTAGATTGACTGAGGTTATCCTTAGGCCCCTTGACCCTAGTGCTCCAACAGAACAGGACTGCCAGGACCTTCGCAGCTGCAGCGAGTTTTGTAATGATGTCTTGGGAGAGATGTTCTGCAGGGGCAGGCAGAGAAGACCCCAAGTGATGGGGAGTGATGTCAGCTTTCGTTAGAGTGGCAGACAGCGTTAGAATATCCTTGGCATAATATGGCGCTGGTATCTTTGTCAGCATCTCTGTTTTCTGTCACCACACACAACCCTGGGCCTGTCTGCAGCCCTGACAGTGTCTTTTCAGATCAGGCTGTTGCCAGCACAGAGACTAGCTCCGCTCTTCACCACACAGCCCCTTTGTTTGAAGCCTGCCCTTTTGTCATTAATGCACTTGATGTCTCTTTAAATCTGACAGTGAATGCAGTATCTGTTTTCCCGTCAAGAGATCATTGACAATATTAATACCTCATGTCCTTGCCTCATCTTCCAAGCGCTGACACCTAGCCACAGTCTCCTGCATTCATCAAACAGCCTTCTCTCACCAGGATGTCTATAAACATTCTTGCTTCCAGGCCCAAAGCAACAGGGTAGGCCTTAAAAAAGACTTTTATCAATGCCAGCCAGAAAGAAGGCCCGGGAATGTGGCACAGAACATGCTACAGCCCACGTTCCAGGAGCATCCAGCCTGTTTCCAGGGCAGCACTTGCTGTCCAAGTTGCATCTAGGTGAGATCTGGAGTTGAAGTTTACCATGGAGAGAGGGCAGAAAAAAAGCAGTTGAATCCCTGAATGTACTGAAAAGTTTACTGGATATTTTACTGGAGAAAGGGCACTCATGGTGGGTGGTGTGTGTGTGTGTCTGACTTTCATCCTTTTGCTCAAGAGAAAGATTGTGTTCTTTATGACATCTGACAGCCCTATCCATTCCTTTTTTTAATTAAAATTCATGTTCTAGTGTTGTAGAAAGAAAGTAGCATCCTTCGGCCCCATCCTTCCAGATTCTTCAGGGTTTATTTGAATCAGTTATGTTTAGGGAAGCCCTCTGTGGATACCTGGCAGAACTGAGGCACTCCCACCCAGGCCTGTAGTGGATGCTATTCCTGGAGCACAGCCTGACCAGCCAAGCCCACAGGCCAGCGGGATCCTGGCATGGGTGACAACATTAGTACAATGCTGGTTGCTACATAATTCAGCACGATAAAGGAAACAGCTCAGTGCCAACAACTAAAAGAACAATTTAGGTCCCGAGAAGGGTCTCAGTGAGGCTCCATCCAAGCTCAAAGTTTCCAGGCACCATACCAATACTGAAAAACAGAAACTGGGGATTCAGGGGCCAAGGAGAAAGCATGACCAAGATGGAAGAATGATCCACAGTAAACTTGTTCATGGGAACATGGCAGGAAATAAAACTAATGAGAGTGAGCCCAAGGCCAGCTTTGAGGCCATGGAACGTTATTACCCTCTCTCCATTGCCAACTCTGAGAGACTCTTTGACCCCAGCAATTTCTAGCTTTGATCCAAGCCATCTAAACCAGGGAGCATCTGCTCTGTCCTTATACGTTTCTAAAAGTCATTCTGATGCTTATGTAAGAACAAGGTTTAAAGCTTTGTGGTGGAGAAACCTCTCCTTCACAGTTGCAAAAATATTTACTACTTAGAACTTCTGATGTGACGAACCGGGTTAATTTCAAGTGCTAATTTATCCCAAATTAACCAAAACAAATGGGCTTGTTGGCTTCACACTATCACACTGATGGAAAAAAAAAATCATCATGCCCCGAGGTAGCTATTTTCACAGGCAGATTTGTGGCTCCTGAATGAATGTCTTACGGATATTTCCTTTCTTTGCTTTTTTCTAGTTGTGTGCAGTTCAGAGACTCAAGTCCGATTAGTGCTAAGACAACTCTGTGCAACTGAATTTAAAATAGATTTTTCTAAAAATAGAAAATAAAAATGCAGGTGGCAAAAACAAAACAGATTTTGCCTTGATAATCCTACAGAGCTTTCACAATAGCTATGGCAGGTGATTCCTTATGGGTATTTTGAATAAATAATGAGTTGATCAAAAAGTTCGACCCTATTCTAGGGGCGTTTTTCATTGTTAAGTCTCCTACAATCTCCTTGAATTAGAGAAGAGCCTTATATGGAGTTAAAGAATTACTTAAAGTAAAGCTGAAAATGGGAATCAAATGCATTCTGACCTGAAATAGAGAGTTCAAGATGCCTGTAAGAAGCCGTTTAATGTCGGAGGTTCTTGTTCTTGTCCATGTGGTATTTTGTCAACACCACCTCTTCCCTTATCATCCCATATGTGCTCGATGTCTGATGCCTCATGCCTGCCAGGATTTGGAATATTCTCTCTGGAAGTTAACAATGTTGATTCATGATAAAGGACTTCAAAAATAGTCTCATTCTGGGAAGATTGTTCTAAGTCTTTGCTTGGGCTGGGTTCATCTTTAAACTCTTCATTTTCCATTCTTCGAAACTCTACTAAGGGAAACTGGGATGAGAAGAGGCTATATTTTGGGGAGTAATTGGCCAAATTAGAAAAGTACTTAATGTGTGGAAGAGAAGTCATGCAGAAAACAATATTCCTAGGAACTTGTAGCGACGTTTTATTTCCCTGTCAACTCTGAGGTTGACAGAACCTTCTTGTCTGTGAGGACAAGAAAGTAGAGTTCTTTACTGGGGCTTGATCCGCTTTCTGCTGCCCATTGAATCTGTGGTTACCTTGCATGTCTGTTTTACAGCACCTGTGTCTCCCTGACACGTTAATTGTGCCACCTGTAATGATGTGTGTCTTTTTATTTGCAGGTGTCCTGGGGAAGTGTCGCTATGTTTACTATGGGAAAAACTCAGAAGGCAACAGGTTTATCCGAGATGACCAGCTCTGAAGCCAAGTTCTGTATACCTTCACCCATTTCATGAAAATAAAATCAAAAGGAAGATCAAAAATAAAGAAAATGCTAAAGAAAACACAATAGCCCACGTTACCTCTCTTTGGGAAAGACTGTGACTTCAGCCTTTGGTACCTTCTGCTGACTTTGCCAGGCCTGTCAAGATCATCCTTCTGCCTTAGACTGAGTGGTCACATAGAGATTGACATGATTGCCCTTAAGCAGGTCTCATCCACCAGGGTGACAGACAGCAGTTGTGAAGCAATGGGGCTGACAGCATGAACACCATGATAGATTGCCTGGTCCTGCCACTGCTCACAGGGGAGCAGAGGTCACACCTGGGGCCTCCCTGGGCATGCTCAGTGGCTGCATTCAAGTGAGAAAGACTGTCTTTAGATCGCCTATTGAGTTGAAATCTCTCTGATATCATCGTGCTGCAGGCTTATTTTTAGTGAAATAATCACAGTGTAGGGGAAAGCTACTCTCCCTCACTCCCTTTAAATCTTAACCTCTGCATTCTGCATATACATAGCTCCCGTCTCTTCCCCTCCACCTTCCTTTAGCATCATTTTTATGACACGTGGTGCATTTTGGTTTGCAGCTTTTCAGGGAACAAGGTATAACTTCCCAGCCAGGTCATACATTTATGGCTGGCTTCATGTTGCTACAATCCCTTTATTGGAGTAAATAGCTTTCCCTAAATCCCTGACTACAAAAGCATGGACTTTTATCTTGTTTCATTCATCTCTAAATCCACTTCTTGCCCTGAATATGATGCAGTGTAAGGCAGTAAGTCATCTTTCTCAGTACGAGGGTTTGGTTGCACCAGGGACTCTTATTTATTAATTTATTTTTAACCGTATACACTTCCAGCGATGCCTGTGGCCATACTTGTGTGTGGGGCTGGCTTGCTCCTTTGGGTGCTATTTAAAGGTAGTGAGGTAATGAAAGATAGAGTGATGGGTCAGGAGGTTAAAAAACAAAATTAAGACTATAGAAAACACCCACCAGACCACAGAGTTTTTATAGAAGGCACAAACCTTTTGGATTTCATATGTTTCTCATGACCTCTTAGAAATCAGATCCATAGGTTATGAGACTGTTATTTCTTCCTATATCCTTGGCTGTGCACTAATGTCACAAGGAACATAAGTATGATCATTGCTAGTTGGGTGGCTATAAGCTTACCTAACTTGCTGGTGCACCAGTCAAATCACTCTAGAAGATATTCAAAAGGCTGATTGTTCTTGACACGATAGCGTTTATTTTTCTGCTTATCTTTAGACCAAGTGCTCATTGTGCTCACAGTATTAGGTCAGTTTGATGACAGCAAAACCTGAAAGAGAATCCCTCCAAGTTATAGATACTGAGGGACTAGGGAACTGCTATTGTAAATCTCTGGGGACTCAGAATCCCTAAGCTGCCCAAAAAGAGCCTACTTTTTCCGCTCTAGCCCATTTATGTAGCCTCTGGCCTACTGAGTCAACACAGGCCTTGAATGACATGTATTGAGGCTGGCGGGAGTCCTGCTTACAGATTATCCTTTGTTAATCAGTTCTTGAGAGAAGTTAAGATTAAAATCCTCAAAACTACAAATAATTGGAGAACGCTGAATGTCTGCCTCTATCTCTGTTTGATTTACAAAACGGCACTGGAATAATGCTTTAAATTATCTCCATTTGGTTCCTCCCCGGGTTGTTGTTTAGAAGCATCAACACATGTTTTCTTCTTGGCATCATGTGGGCAGCCAGAGTTCTGTGCAAGAGCAGCTAGACGAGTCGGATGTCATATCCAATCTAGCCGCACATATATCCTTGTCTTTATAAAAGGCTTTAACCCTGCCTCAAACAATAAAAAAGCACTTGTGAACTGACCACAGAATTTTTCCATCTTTATTTTTCTTACTTGTTTACTTTTTTTAATGTCAGAACCATTTGTATCATGTGCAGGAATGTCTCCCTCAATGTGAGCTTTGGAGGCAACACATATTTTTGGAGTGAGTTATTGACCACACTGTTTCCCTCTCTTTGGGTTGTTTATTTTCTTCCAAAATGGTGCAATAACTTTCATTAAGATTAGCTTCAATTATAAATTACCTAAAGGCCACCACGAAGGTATATTCATCTTATTGATAGAATTATAGTGAGTTTTGTTTCTCTTAAGGAGGGATAATGATAATGAATTAGTGCTGGGTTGCTCACAGTTCCACTGGCGTGTTAACCAAAATTTGCTATGCTAGAGCTAGATTTTGGTCTGAAGTGGCAGAGGTAGAAGCCATGTTGCATGTTTATCTTGAATCTGTAGGAATTTCCCAAACCTTGTTTTTCGAAGTTGAGGAGAAGAAAGTAATCAATTCAATCAGGAACCAGACATGTTTTGTACTTTCTCTACCCTTTGGTCTTTCTTCCTTTTATGCCATTCCACTGAGTTTGTTCTTTGGGGATTGTGGTGCCTGACATCCCTGTCTTCCCCCTCCCAGGACACTGACCTGAGTGGAGAGACCTCGGCAATTCAAGGCTGTCCTGCAGCTCTCTGTGGCCTCAGCAATGTCAGGGCGACTGTCTCTTTCCTAAGTAACATAATTTTAAAGAACAATTTGTTCCTTAGGGAATAATGTCTTGGATTGTGGGGAATCCTATTAAAAGTACAACTATTGCAATCATTTGCTTTTACTTTCACCAGCCTCGCTCATAAACCTCCATCTGTTTGTTGCTTTAAATAGAAGCACATTATAAGAGATTATCACTTGATCAGGCGGCGTGTCTGAGTGTTGTGTGTTTTCACATATTCATGTACACGAAGAAATAAAAGAAAGCAAACCACAGATTCTGGATGAAAGGATTTGTTTGTTTGTTTGTTTGTGTGTGTGTGCATGTGCATGTATGTGTTTCCAGTAGAGATGTATCTTGTACATTTTCAAGGGAAAAATGTCTTTCTTGCTGTTTGCAAGAAATAACCTGGCTGTCTTTCTTTTCTTTGTTAATATGCACACCAAAAACAATCCACAGGGCTTTCATCAAAAAAATGCTGGTGTTCTGTATTTGGTACTTGCAAGGGCAGCCTAAGTCAGGTTTGTGTGGCTGCAACACAGGTAACGCCCAGCATGGACACAATGGTACCCATTGGGACTCTTCCATGTTGTCCATCATTATAGCTGATCCAATGTGATCTTTTTCCACCTGTTTCTTTCAGTTCTGTTTCCAGGCAGAAACCTTTGCTGAAGAAGGGTGCTACCACTACTCGATTCTCTCTAACTTGTTCAAATACCATGCAGGAAACTGACTGACTGTGAGTAAGACCTGGAAAGGAAAATGAGACCAGATGAGCACAGAGAATGTTGATTACTTGTTTATGTGACAACCAGACCATCAGCTCGTGCTGCAGTCTTGTATGTTACTTCTTCTAATGCATCAGCCACCACTCAAGTGACCTGAAGAACACTGAAAGGCACAGCCACTGTTTTTTCAGGTAAACTTAATGTTCCTGAAGTTTACCTAAAATTTCCCAGCATTGGTGATTCTCATCCTTTGGGCAATTATAATGCCAAGGGTTCATTTGTCACTTTGTGGTTGGGGTAGGTCATAAGATGTATTATTTGTGCATATTATCATATAAGCATATGATAATTCTAGAGTAACATGGAATATGGCCCAGAGAACAAGCAACCTGTGACAAGGGAGTTTTGCTAAGAAACAGTAGGGGAAATTCTAAGTATGGAACGTGTATGGGGGAGAGTTGCTAGAGTAGGAATGATATAAATGGCAATAAATGGGATTATGCCAGGAGACAGCATACAGCAGAATTAAAATGTGGAATCTTCATGGATAGGAGTAACTTGAGAGCTGAGGAAATGAGAAGGAAAGGGAAAAGCTAGTTTTCTGCCATTCAAAAGGTTTGCTGATGTTCAGCAGTAACATGATGTTTAGGGATATTTTATCCTCAAACTGGAATCGTCTTTGATATAAATGAGTGTCCACCCACTTAATGTTTTACAAGCTTCTCTGCCAAAGACAATGAAACAGTGTGGAAAAGATGGTTCATGGAGTACTGTGGGAACAAATGATCATATGCGTGATGGCTGCATATGGACAGACACGACTGTGGCTGGTACCTGATATTCTACAAACTGAGCATCCTAAGGGAAGTGCCTCAGCTCTGGACTGGCTAAAAAATACAAGGTAAACTTAATGATGTGAGCAGTCATATGAAAGAGAAAATAGTTTTATGGTCATGGAAGTCTTCATATATTCATTAAGTTCAGAGGTACATGGGCACCTTGACAAGATAACAAAAAAAAACAAAAATATTTAAAGAAAAAGATGAATGCCTCTATCTGGGGCAGAAGATGCTGGCAATAGGATTCAACTGTTCTTGGCGTGCAGGCAGTGAATGAGCGCTCAGCTCATAGGAGCTGTGAATAACATCTTAGTTCAAGTTGATTACCTGGATTAACATGCAGAACATTCTAGAAACAATGTTTCTGTTTTGTCACATCAATTACTTTAAATCAACTTTTCCTCCTCCATATTGGAAATAATTATCTCAACATTGTAAATAGGAATGAATTTTGAAAGCTCTGGGGATAGTTTCCTTTAGACATGAACTTTCCAATTTAGGAGTTTGTGATGAGAGGGAAAAAGTCCTGCCTGTGGGCTTAAGTACAATATTTAGGGTATTCTAGTTATGGAGTATCAAGATAGGTAAGAATTAATGTGTATTATTTATTCACTAAGGCTAAATTTAGTAAATCATAGTCTAAATCATAATAATTGCTACTATAAAAGAAATTTCCTGTGAAGAAAGATACAAATGAAATTTAACAGCCAGGTGGAGTATGGTGTTTTAATTTTTATGTTATTACTATTTAATGTAATATTTTATGAAAAAATATACTCTGACTTTCAACCCACATTTAGTTTTTCAGGCTGTGATTATGATAGAAACAGCTTTTGGGGGCAAAATATAACTTAATTAGAACAATAACAATGACAGCTACAAAGTCTTCTAAAATTTTTAATTAATTACTTGCCTTATTAGAGAAAGAAAGAAAGAATATGTATGATAGAGGTTAGGATCTGTTACTGACATAAATTTTCTAAGTTTTGGGTGGACTCCAAAATAGGTCAGCAATTATCCTGTTAGCATGTTACATAGAAAAAGACATCTATTTCATACCTAATTAATTAATATATACTCTGTGTCCTCCTTTCATATGAATTGCTGATCTACATTTTATGACGTCAGTCATAAAGTTCTCAGGCCATGGTATGATAGTGTCATGATGCTTTTGCTTTTGCCCTTCTTGGCCTTTTAAGCAGGATCATTGTTCAAAGGATAACATAGAGCAAGTTTGTTTTAATTAAGAGAGGTCTTTGATGTTCAAAGAATAGGTTACATGAGTTATCTCCAAAAATTACTATTTAAAACCAGGTTTCATTTATAGACTATCCATATTCCCCTATCTTTTTACATTCATAAACATTAGCCATATTTCTTTATTTGCACACAAAGGTTGTCTTTCCCAAAATAACTCCATTTTCTACGGGGCTATAGCATAACATTCACATCCTGTAGCCACATTGGCTGTATTCTCAAACACAATAAATGTCTGAATGCCTCCAGTTAGAACATTTATCTTCATTTCTCTTTTAAAAACTTTATTTGGTATGCTTACTCAGAATGATCCACTTTGAAAGGATCACAGTAGAGTATAAAAATATTTGGACTTAATGGTCAACACATTCGTTGAAGGTCTAAAGTGAATGATAATGAAGCCTACTATCACCATAAAAGGGTCATATTTTGATAAGTTAGGTTTAACCATTGCTTGGAAAATTACATTTAGCTGAAAAAATTAGGATCTCAACTCTAATTTATTAGAGAAATCTTACAGATTTACACTTATAAATATTTGTGTATATAATATAGATACAGGGTATTGGCTTACCAAATACTAAAATGGAATTTGCAACTCTATTTTGGCGAGTTTGATCTATGGACCACTTTAGTGGACAATATTATGGGCTTCTTTGCTTTGGTTCATTCATGATGCACACATGCACATACTAATAAACACATAAATAATGGTTACTATAATTATTTTGTAATATCAACATTAAACCAAGCACTAAAGCTGTCATTTTGCTAAAATGTGTTGGTCAAGAAACTACTAGCTGTAGAAGTACATGCTACTAGAAGTATCCATTTACTTCATGCAGATCAGTAATGTGTATATATATATATATACATGAAATACTCTTAATTGGCTATAAATAATTAAAAACTCTAACATTTGCCATTACTTCTGATTTTCTCCCACCACACTGTTGAGTCACTTCTTTAGAAATATTTTCCAAGTAATGCTGTGGTTTACATGGGCCTCTTAGGTTTTGAAGCTTTTTAAAGAGCAGTGATAATTTTTATCTGTAAGGATGCACATCCATACACTCATTTCACAAATATTCATTGGGTACCCTTAGTATGCTAGAAAGTTACAAATACAAGGGGATAATAAGAGGATGTCCTGTTTTTTGACAAATTTCTGTCTGGAGTAGACATATATATATTATATATTATAATTCTGAATTATAATAGACATATATATTATATATATAATTCTGGAGTAGACTAATATATATAGATTAGACTCTCTCTATATATATGACTAATCTATAGTCATATATATAGATGATATATATATATATATATGTAGTCCAGAATTGGTACCTATCCTAGCATATAATAATTTATATATATTATAGTCTACTCCAGAATGCTACCTATCCCAGCATATAATAATTTATATAAATTATACGTAAATTATTATATGCTGGGATAGGTATTTATATAAATTATACATAAATTATATGCTGGGATAGGTATTATATATAATATAAATATACATATAAATTATTATATGCTGGGATAGGTATTAAGTTAGAAATTACACTAAAGAAATGGATTAAGGCACCAGAAATGATGGTGGGAAGTTAATTCCAAATGTAGCCATAATCCAACCACATCTACAGTTACCGTCTTGACCCAAGACACCAACATTTCTTAACCTCGATTGCTGATTACATCCACCTTCCTACCAGTCTCCTGATTCTACTCTTACTTTTGTACAACCTATTCTTTACAGGAAAGTGAGTGTGATCCTCTAAAAATGCTCAGTCACATCCTGTGGTTCTATTATCCATTTCCTATCAGTGGTTTCCCATCTCACTTGGAGTAAAAGTTAGAGTCCTTTCAAGACCCTACATGGCCCAACGTAATTACTTTTAGAGAAATCATGAAATCAGTGACCTAATAGCTGTGAGAATGAAACAGAAATAAATGCCCACGCCACCCCCCACAGCTCTCCACTCCAGCCACATTAGACAACAAGGAGCACATTGCAGCTTTAGGACTTTGCCCTTGCCATTCCCTCTGCCTGTAATGTTCTTCCCCTAGGTAACCCCATCAAGTGCCACTTCAGTTCATTCAGGTTTTTTGCTCTAATGCAAGCTCACTTGAGAGTCCTTCTTGGACCACCCTCCCACTTATCACACTCTACCTACCTTGCTTTGTTTTCCTCTGTTGCACTTACCACTACTTCACTATTAGATATTTATTTGCTTTTTCATTTATTATTCAAACAACGGGATGGCTTGAGGGTGCCTTGGCATATAGCAGCCACTCAATAAATAATCATTTATGAATGAATGAAAGAATGGTTCTAATTCACAGAGGTCTATTAGGCTATGTTTACAAACACATTGTTGCATATTGAACAGGATGAGTCTCTTTTATCAAAGAAGTTTTCATTGGGAAGTTTTCCACTCC